CTGAAACTGAAGATGAAGATGAGGCACAAATGGAACAGGAAGAGGATTTCGAACCAGTGAAGGGAGATTTGTTGGTTGTGCAACGGGTTCTAAATGCACAAGTTGATGTTAGTGCTGAGCAACGTGAGAACATCTTTCATACTCGATGTCAGATTCGAGATAAGGTGTGTGGGATGATCATTGATAATGGAAGTTGCACTAATGTTGCGTCAACTACCTTGGTGGAGAAATTGGGCTTAACTACCATTCCACATCCCAGACCGTATAGTTTGCGATGGCTGAATGAGAATGGGGAGATTCGGGTGACAAAGCAAGTTCTTGTGCCCTTTTCCATTAAAACCTATCATGACGAGGTTTTGTGTGACGTTGCGCCGATGTCAGCTAGCCATTTGTTACTGGGTCGTCCATGGCAGTTTGATAAGGATGTGACCTACAATGGACGAAAGAACACTTATTCTTTCATGCTGAATGGAAAGAAGGTGAACTTGTTACCATTGAGTTCTCAACAGGTTAGAGAGGATCAGTTACGAAGCCAACAAAAGGAGGTGCAATCACGTAAGGGGCTGTTGTTAGCCAAAAAAGGCGATATCAAACAGGCATTAGCTTCGACGGGGGTTGTTTTCATGATCTGGGCAAAGCAATTGCTACAAGTAGAAGGACTGGACTTACCAACACAGATTAAGGAATTGCTAGAAGAATTTAAAGATGTGTTTCCAGATGAATTACCTAAAGGGTTACCGCCTATTCGTGGAATTGAGCATCAAATTGATTTGGTGCCGGGAGCTTCACTTCCTAATAGACCAGCATACAGATGTAATCCAGCGGAAGCAAAAGAGATTCAAAGGCAGGTTGGTGAGCTTGTAGAGAAGGGCTATGTTCGAGAATCACTTAGTCCATGTTCCGTACCTACTTTGCTTGTACCAAAGAAAGATGGTACCATGAGGATGTGTATGGACAGCCGTGCTATCAACAAAATAACAGTTAAGTATCGATTTCCTATACCCAGACTTGATGATTTGCTTGATGAGTTGCATGGTGCTGCATTGTTTTCTAAAGTCGATTTGATGAGTGGTTATCACCAAATTAGAATGAAAGAGGGAGATGAATGGAAAACAGCATTTAAAACTAAACAGGGGTTATATGAATGGATGGTAATGCCGTTTGGGTTATCTAATGCGCCTAGTACATTTATGAGGCTTATGAATCATGTTTTGAGGAAGTATATTGGGCTGTTTGTTGTAGTATATTTTGACGATATCCTAGTGTATAGCAAGACCTTTGATGATCATGTGAAGCATCTTAGAGTTGTGTTTGAAACTTTGCGAGATTCTAAGTTGTATGGGAAACTCACAAAGTGTTACTTCTGTAAAGAAAGTGTCGTGTTTCTTGGATATATTATCTCTAGCAAGGGAGTTAAGGTTGATGAGGAGAAAATTGAGGCAATTCGGGACTGGCCAAAACCTGCTAGTATCGCTGATGTGAGGAGTTTTCATGGTTTAGCTTCTTTCTACAGGCGATTTGTGAAAGATTTCAGCTCTATTGTTGCTCCTATGACAGAATGCTTGAAAAAAGGAAACGAGTTTAGATGGAGTGCAGATGCTCAGAAAGCTTTTGAGCTAATTAAAGAAAAGTTGTGTACTGCTCCAGTTTTAGCACTTCCAGACTTTGCTAAAACATTTGAAATAGAGTGTGATGCTTCCGGAGTTGGAATTGGGGCTGTTTTGATGCAAGAAAAGAGGCCGATTGCATTCTTCAGTGAAAAGTTAAATGGAGCACGTTTGAACTACTCTATTTATGACAAGGAGTTCTATGCTTTGATTCGAGCTCTGGAGGTATGGCAGCACTACTTGTTGCCAAAAGAATTCGTTATTCATACTGATCATGAATCCTTGAAGTATCTTAAGGGGCAAAGCAAGCTGAATCGAAGACATGCTAAATGGGTGGAGTTTATGGAGTCATTTCCTTATGTCATAAAGTACAAGAAAGGGCAAGTTAATGTGGTTGCTGATGCTCTTTCTAGGAGGTATGCACTGATCTCTATGTTGAATGCAAGGCTGATGGGTTTTGAACAAGTGAAGGATCAATACGCTAATGATTCCTACTTTGCTAATGTGGTTACCGAATGTGCAAAGGGAGCTTGTGATGGGTTCTTTATGCATGAAGGTTACTTGTTCAAAATGGGCAGAATGTGTATTCCTTCAGGTTCATTACGGGAGTTGCTTGTGCGAGAGGCTCATGGTGGTGGTCTTAGTGGTCATTTTGGGGAGAAGAAGACTTATGAGTTGCTGAAAGAACATTTCTTTTGGCCTAGCATGTTACGGGATGTGCACAAGGTGATTGAGAGATGTGCTATTTGCAAGAAAGCTAAGGGTAAAGAGAATGCATATGGGCTGTATATGCCGTTGCCTATTCCAGAGCAACCGTGGATGGATGTTAGCATGGACTTTGTACTGGGGTTACCGAGAACACAGCGTGGAAAGGATTCAATAATGGTTGTGGTTGATCGATTCTCCAAAATGTCCCATTTCATTCCTTGCAACAAAACTGACGATGCTGTACATGTAGCTGATTTGTTCTTTCAAGAGATTGTTCGTTTGCATGGAGTTCCTAAAAGCATTGTCTCTGATCGTGATACAAAGTTCTTAAGCTACTTTTGGAAGACTCTTTGGAGGAAGCTAGGAACGAAGTTACTTTTCAGTACGGCATGTCATCCACAAACTGATGGACAAACTGAGGTAGTAAACCGAACTTTATCTTCTTTGTTACGAGCTGTTATACATAAGAATTTGAAGAGTTGGGATACTTGTTTGCCTATTGTGGAGTTTGCATATAATCGTAGTGTGCATGGGGCTACAAAATTTTCACCATTTGAGGTCGTGTATGGCTTTAATCCTTGTGTTCCTATTGATCTTGTTCATATTCCAATTGATGAGAGGACATCTATGGATGGAATTAGAAAGGCAGAATTGATGAAGAAACTACATGAGCAGGTTCGATTACATATTGAGGAGAAAACAACAAAGTATGCTAAACAAGCTAACAAGGGGCGGAAAATGGTTAGGTTTGAACCTGGTGATCTTGTTTGGATTCATCTTAGTAAGGGCAGATTTCCAAGCAAACGCAAGTCCAAGTTGATGCCAAGAGCTGATGGTCCATTTCGGATTATAGAGAAGGTGAATGATAATGCGTATAAGGTAGATCTTCCTGGTGATTACAATGTATCAGCTACTTTTAATGTGAAAGACTTGACTCCATACTTGGATGATGACGACGATTATGATTTGAGGACAAATCATTATCAACCCGGGGCTGATGATGTGCATCATGGGAATGATAATCCATCTCGTAAAGGTAAATCAAATATGCAAGAGGATTCAGATGGTCCAATGACAAGAGCGAGAGCGAAACAACTACAAAGGACCTTGACGAGTCAGATTGGAATGATTGAAGCTGCGTCGGAGTTAAAATTTGGCAATCAGTTTCAAATTGGTTCAAGGGTGCTTATTTGCCTACAATTGGAGCTTAAAGATGGGAAGAGCCCTTAATGGTTCTTTTGATGCTGGACTACTTGAATTTGGGTTGATAATGCAAATAAGTTAAGAAATTGATGCTGTTTACGTCAGAACAGTAGATAAATTTCATCCATTTTTGTCAGATTCATTGTTGCTTCGAATCATTCACGGTACATCATTTAAACTATCCCTAAAGCATCCAAAGAGAAATCCTAATTAGTTTTTTTAATTTCATAATTTTAAAATATTTAAACTATTCTTCAAATACTCCAAACAGAAATCATAATTACTTATTTTAAATTTCTTTTAATTTAATAATTTTAAAACTTTAAACTAAGTTTTAAGTATCCCAACTAGAAATTATAATTATTTTTTAAAAAATTATTTTAAATTTTATAATTTTAAAACTTTGAACTAAGTTTCAAGTATCCCAAATAGAAATTCTAATTATTTTTAAAAATTTTATAATTTTAAAGCATTTAAACTATCCTTGAAGTACCTAAAATAGAAATCATATTTTTTATTTTATTTTTTCATGATTTTTTAATTTTAAAACATTTCAACTATATTTGAAGTATTCTCGAAATTCATAATTTTTTTAAATTTCTTATAAATTTTAAAATATTCAAACATGTTATTAATAATTGAAGAATACAAAATAGAAATTCTCATGACTTTTTTGAAATTTCTTTTAAATTTATAATTCTAAAAGTTTGAACTAAGTTTTAAGTATCACAAACAAAAATACTAAGTATTTTTTAATTTTATAATTTTAAAACATTTAAAATATCCTTGAAATACCTAAAACAGAAATTATAATTTTTTTAGATTTTTCAATAAAAATTTTATTTTAAAACATTTCAATTATCTTTGAGGCATCCAAAATTAAAATTCTCATTACTTTTTTTTTTAAAAAAAATTTCTTTCAAATTTTATACTTTTAAGATATTTAAACTATTATTAAAGTATTCGAAATGGAAATTCTAGTTACTTTTTTTTAAAAAAATTCTTTTAAATTTTATTATTTTAAAATATTTAAATTATTCTTGAAATACTTTAAACATAAATCATAATTACATTTTATAATTTTTTTAAATTTTAAAACATTTAAATTATCATTGCATTTAAAACAGAATCCTATTTTTGTTAATTTTAAAACTTAAAGTAGCTTAAATAGAAATTTCAATTATATTTTTTTAAAATTTTTGCTAAATTTTATAATTTTAAAATATTTAAATTATCCTTAAAATATCTAAAACAAAGTTCATAATTTTTTTAAAATTTTTTTCAAAGGTTTTTAATTTTAAAATATTTCAAATAAAATGAAAAATATATAAAATTAAGTTTAGAAATTTAAAAATTAATAAAATTAATTAAATTTAGTTAAATTCAAGAAAAATTAAGTTAACTTGAATAAAAAAAATGATATCAGGTCTGATTTCATAATTTCACTTAAAATAAAAACAACTACCGACTCCCTCGCTGACACTCCAAGTCCACGTCTCCAACCTTCCCCTTTGCGCTTTTGCCCTTTCCCTTTTCTTCTTTCCCCAAATCGTTTTAGGTTTGTTAACTTTTAGCCTTCTCGCATCAGATCAGCTGATGACATGAAATCACTGATTGACTCGTTGAATTCCAGTGTTCCAACATATTCTTTACAAAGGAAAATGATATCCGTCTTGGTATGTAAGCCAAAAGAAATACTATTCGGAAGGATTTTCTTCTTCATCAAAATTTTAAATCTTCTCTGACTTTGGACTTGCAAAGGTGCTTAACCCAGAAGACCCTGCTTCTTTGGTATGGACTTGATTGCATCTCCAATAAATTACTAATTTACTTTGTTTTAACTTGTCAATTGAAATTACACCCCGGATTTCAAACTATTACAACTTTTTTTTCTCAACTTCTTAATGTATCTAATGCCTGCAACTTAGATAGTGTTTGGGTACCATTTAGGGTCCCAGTATGTTTAGATCCAAAATCCTAAGAGTTGGTGTTAATGTCTTTCTGATTTCTATGCCTTTGCATGTCACTTAGGTACTCGGCACTCGGCACTCCTAATTACATGTGTCCCGAGCTCCTAGCAGACATATGGTCACTTGGTATGAAATTTGGAACCATGGGTTTGAATTTATCAAATTTACTTCCGCACTAGCAATAAAATCTATCTGATGTTTCAGGACGCTGTATGTTTGAAATGGCAGCACATTAACCAGTATATAGAGCTCCTGTGATTACGAGCCTGATCTTCTATTACAAATGTAGCATAAATATAATTTGTTTACCAGCATAGCACCTGCAATTTACTTTAGTATAAACTTCGATCCCCTTGTCGCAGCCCTCTCCCCCCTATCTATTTTTGCCGTTGAGATCTAGTACGTAGTCACTCTTTTAGCCTTCTTACATCAGATCAGCTGAAAAGGTATGTTTGATTACCTCCCTCTTCCTGCAATTTCGGTTTGCTTTTTTCTCCAAATCTTAGTCTTTTGCAACGGATATAACTCGATAAGATGGAATTCGCACTAACATAATTGAAAATTGCATTTGATTGTGGAAAGGAAGTGGCCTATTTAAAAAATTTACTCTCTGAATTTGGATCTATATTATAGAATCTAAATGTTGTTTGACATACTCTCTCGGATTTGTGTATCTTGGCACTTCTCTTTTGGGTTTCTACGTCACCTAGCACTGTTTGGAACTTTGAAACACGGTATAAGGTGGTATAACGCTACAAAGTTAGTCGAGATTTGAGGGAAATAGTTTTTGTTATTTATCTGAGTTGAGTTTTTGTTTTAGGTTTGTTAATTTTTAGGTAATGAAATTTTATGGACATGTATAAATTTTTATTTGAATTATATATTTTAAGATATTTGAATATTTATATTGTTTATTATTTAATTATTTAATTTTAGTTAAAATATTTTATTTATGATTTTACGATTTTATGATTCGAGTTTATATTGGATGTTCTGTGTCGTATCAAAAAAGTATTTTTGACAATCTTGATTTCAACTATATTTAAAGTATCTAAAATAAAATTCTAATTATATTTTTTAAATTTTATAATTTTAAAACTTTTCAACTATCATTAAAAAATCCAAAACAGAAATTCTAATTATTTTTTTTATAGTTTAAAATGTTTAAACAATTAAACTATCATTGAAGCATCCAAAAAAAATTTAATTAATTTTTTTTATAAATGGCTTGTGTGTGTGTGTGTGTATTTTAAAACATTTAAATTATCTTTAAAGTATCGTAAACAAAAATCTTAATTATATTTTTTTAAAAAAATTGTTTTTATAATTTAAAATTTTAAAAATTTTCAACTATACTTGAAATATCCTATACAGAAATTCACATTATTATTTTTTTATAATTTGTATTTATATTTTATAATTTTAAAATATTTTAACAATACTTGAAGCAGTCGAAACAAAAATCATAATTTCTTTTATATATTTTTTTAATATTTTAATTTTAAAACATTTTAACTATCCTTAAAGTATCTAAAATAGAAAATTCTAATTATTTTTTAAAATTTCTTTTAAATTTTATAATTTTAAAATATTTATACTATCCTTTAAGTATCCAAAGTAGAAATCATGATTTATTTTCTAAATTATTTTAATTTTTAAATATTTAGACTATGCTTGAAGAATAAAAAACATAAAATCTAATTAATTATTTTAAATTTATTTGAATTTTATAATTTTAAAATTTTGAACTAAGTTTCAAGTATCCCAACTAGAAATTCTAATAACTTTTTTTTAATTTCTATTAAATTTTATAATTTTAAAATATTTAAATTATACTTGAAGTACCGGAAATAAGAATTATAATAGTTTTAGTTTTTTTAATTTTAAAACATTTAAACTATCCTTGAAGCATCCAAAACTGAAATCCTAATTTTTTTATTGATTTTTTTATTTTATAATTTTAAAACATTTAAAGTATTATTAAATAATTGATTATTTAAAAGTGTATTTTTATCAACATTTTATATTATTGTTTTGCACTTAAAGTATCAATAACTCCTTAATTGAAGCATGTTTTATAATAACATATCTAATAATATAAGATACCTTTAATTTATAGTAAATGTTCATTTTAAATGCAGGTCTATCACATAAATAAAAGGATT